TGTGACTGTGTGTTCTCCTCTGAAGGGTTGCCGAATCCCACTGGCTTTATACAGCGAGTCTGTGGCCTGCTGCCACTGTACTTTTATTGTTCTCCAAATATAGAGTGAACTCTTCCCACGATGGTTCAACTCATCCCAACATGTTAGCACGAATGATAATGAGAGAACTAAAGCTGGTGTCGTTGGCCCTCAAATCGGTTTTGGAGCATGGCTTCATTTTCTGAATACATTTCGAAAAGAGTCACATACTGACTGCGACAAATTACCAGCATGTTATCAAAAGCACTGACACCGACTCAGTAGTAATTTCATTCAACCGAGAGGTATAAAAGTGAGACAGTATGCATGGAAACAAAAAGAACAAGGGAGGTTGCTACGGACTATAGCTGCGCAGGCCGCAGCAGAACCGCAGTGGCTGATGAACAGAGTATCGTTATATGATTATTATCTGAATTGACGCCCAAAAATGCTAGAAGCTTCCAGAAGTTGTGCTAGCGGCCCACTAGGAGGTTTCGGATATGACTGCAACCATCGGAAGCAAACGAAATCGTTGATATTCAAGAGCCACTATTCGCTCTACCTTAGCGTTGAGACACAAATGATATGGTAGACAAGGTGTTCCGAGATCTCCGGACCCCTAGCACTACGTCACTCAAACACTATGAAATTCGGGACGGCGGTGTCAACGACCGTGATCTGTCCATGCACAGAATTGGTGATGTTGATGCATCTACGGTCTAATCTCTGCTTTCAAAGTGTTTAAAACCTTATTGTTCATCTGGACTTTGGTTCGTTCCTCTGCTTATTTCCTGTTATCATACCATGCATATGCTCATTCTTCTCCTCATCTTATGGTTGGCCTCACATTCGTGCACAGCGGAATCGTTAATCCGTCGCCGTCATGGAAGGTAAGCCCCTCTTTTATTCCAAACAATTCATTACTCTTATACCCGGCGTAAGAAAACGAATATCACAACCACGGTTGAAGAAAGAATCGTTACCGCCGAAGCAGCATTGAACTTGGCTTATGACAGGCTCGATTCGCAGTTGTCATTCTACCGAGGTGAGAGTAAATGAAGTATGCCGAGAACAAGCTGGTTTTCACTCGGAATAATAAAGGCGAAAACTTCAGCGGTATACTAACCTCCGTAGCTCTGCACACTCAGTTGTCCTTGTTCGATCGTGTAGCACATGATACACCGTTCAAAGATCAGGTCATGAGGTATTTCCAGTTGCATGGCGATGGTTCCCTCAACGATTCTGTTCCCGCGTGAGTGGATTTTCTCGGTTTTTGACTGGCTATGCATTGACCTTGTTACCTTATGTAGGGATCAATTTGATGTGCTTGTTATATTCTCAATCTTGGTATAACTGACTCATCTCGTCACCAGATATCATATTATTTGTACGAACATCAACTGATCATTGCTTGGAAACTTATGATATATCGAACTCAAGATCGTATGGCTACGGAGCGATGCAAGCATACTACACCTACTATGACCCGTTCTTCTTGAACCTCGCCGAGATCTCATGGAGTCAAGCGAATAATCAGACGGTCAGCGAAGACAATGTAGAATCATGGAACAGCGTTTGCGGTTCAGATAGTATGTAATCTTGCGGAACTCAAATGACTTCGATTCACATACTATAGGCCCTCGATTAATTGGTGGCGTATACTGGGTAAGTGTCAACGTGAGCTCCACACTTTGTTTCCGCTTATCGTGAAGCTTCAAGAATATCTCTTCGAAAACATACTTTAGTGGTAGCGTGAATGGGTATGCTCTTCACTTTCTTTTGAGTAATGAGTAACATTTTGCCTCTAAAGCCTCTTCCTAGTGTGCGTACTCGCTCGTCGATAATTCCAGCGCATATACTGACCCATCAGAGGCGCTAGGCTATCCGCTTTACTCGCAAACGAAACTTCAAACGAAACCTATCTGAATAATACTCTCAAAACATCAGCTTTCATAGGAAACAATCTCTTTGGTACTCAGGGTGTCGTGCAGTCAATGGATGTCAAAAACAGCTGCTTGGTGCCGGAGTTCAGAGAAGCGCTCGTTGTGGATACTGGTTATTGGATTGAAGGATTGTCAATCTTGTCATCCATGTCCAGGAACGATTCAATCGTGAATTTTGCTCTATGTTCACCTAATACTTGAATAGAACTCGACGATCGATAAGAGAGGCTACTACTCGAGTTGGGACATGGCAGGACGATGATGGTGTTATGAGTGCGTATACCTCATCTACGCCTCGCATCTTCATCCCATCAGTGTTGATTACAGGCAGTAATGGAGACATAACACTCCAAGGAAGATTCATTCGGTCACTGGGCAAGGCTTACCAACAACTACAGTCATATCCCGACATCAATCTATATTTAAAGAGCTACATCTCAACACAGGTATGTCATATTGTCCCCTACAACGCATATCCTAATCGGCAAGACCAGTACAACGCCATCTTGGAGCGAGCAACCAATTCGAGTAGAAACATTTACGGAAATTGGACAGGTCCACCAGCGTTGGAATTTAGCTCAGCTAACCAAACATCTGCAATAAACGTGCTCATTGCAGGGATCTTGCTCGCAGACACTAGTCGAGAACCGCAATGTGACAGCTGCTCTTTCGGGAGCGCTCCCACATCGACTCTCCCAATCGGAAAAATCATAGGCGGTGCAATCGGTGGTGCTGCGGCGTTGTTGATGGTGATATTGTTGCTGATTTTGATTCGACGATGTCGGAGGGGTCGAAATGAAATTCAAGGAACGCATGTAAGTAACGTTACTGACATCATGTCAGTAACATGTACGTAACATGTCAGTAACGCCCGTTACTGACATTCGAAAGTACTAAAAGAGAGTTGCAGTGTAATAATCTGAAAATTGACTGGAGGTCGCTCAGAGGAGCGTACAAACATCTCTAAACGTATCTAGAGCCCTCCAATGTACCCCTACTCCCGCTTGCGGTGACGTGACGCTACTTATGTCAGTTAAGCGCTGAACTAGCGCTGACTTTCTTTGCGATGCGACGAGGATTTAGGTCGCGGCCATGGATAGAAAGTTTTATTGCGCAATAGATTTATCTAAAAAAGTCTTCTATGCTATCACTGACGGTCTAAGGCCCCAAATAAAATAAAATAAAATGTAGTCATTAACGGCTGACACTACTCACCTATGCTCTACCGGATCGTCAAGGTTAGTTGTACAAACCCAATCTCCGCCCAAAAGGGTTTGCAATGTAGACGAGGGAAGTACCCGATAGTTTTGATGGTCATTCGATGCTGTAACTTCACAAGGAATTCTACTCGTAAAGATGACTATGGTTCAGACTAGCCGAGGTTCTTTCCTTGCTTGCAATGACTAAATAGGGTGTTAGTTCGGACTCATAGGCTCAGTTTGGATCATTGATAATGAAAGTTACATTACTTATTTTTAGGCAAACTTGAGTGAACTGCGAGTAACTGTACGGTACATGTCAGTAACTGTAAGGAACGTGTCAGGGGATGCAGTAACGTGTACGTAACTGTAAGGACTGTGTAAGTAACGTGCAAGTAACATGTGCGTAACGGTAAGTAACATGCGCGTAACAGTAAGTAACATGCGAGTAATGGTAAGTAACATGTCAGTGACTATTTTATGACATTCAAAGTCCCTCAAAGAGCTTTCTCGACCTCAAAATGCTTTACTCAACCTAAGGAACACAGATAGGTCACCTAAGAGGCTTGAACTAGGCGGATTATTGCCTTTGGCTAGAAACTCGGCTCAAGCTTTTCTAGTTATACTCAACAGATGATGATCCATGCTCGATATCACAGCTATATGTTCAACCAAGTTGGAAATATGTTCTCTGGTGGTAGCTGATATGAATTCCCTCACCAATGATTGGGAATTACAGGCCGTGGGAAACATTGAACACGCACCTTCGGAGTGGATGAATTGTAACTGGAACACGCCTGGAGCCTGACATTGGACAGGGGAGACTTGGAAGAGTGTGCATAGATGATTTATAGTCAACTTTTATACGATGTGAGCGACATGTAAGTAACATGTAAGTAACATGTCAGTAACAGTAAGTAATGTCAGTAACGTTACTTACATGCGTTACGTGAATTTTATAACGACCTGTCGGAGGCGACCAAAGGTTGTGGTGATTCGTCCATTCCCGTATGGTTCATCAGTGCCACCAAAGCTACCCAAGAGACCATTCCCGAGGGCTCCAAACGTGATTCGAAGAGATAGAGCTCGGGATCATTCCGGGGAAAGACCACCACCACCAGCATATTCGGATACAGTTCTGGAATGAATGGAACAGGATATTGATCTAGCATACAATCGTAAGGAAACGATTCATTACCCCTACATGAACACCTTATTCAGAGACGATGATGCCGACTGTATGCTACCTTACCTAAATAAACCTTTCTCTTTCAAATTTGGTTTCCCTTGTCAATATTTTGTACTTGTTAAATTGAGCCAACATCATAGATAATACACGCATTGATGGGGTCGTTTGGATTCCCCGCTGAATGTGCAAGTATTTAGTCAGGAGTTTGGAGTCTTTTGGGCCCTTCGTACCTAATGCGAACGACAAATGAATCCCGGACAGTTTCTCTATCATACGTTATTTTAGTCCATAGGCCTAGTGAATGAAACAAAGCAAGCCATCAAAACGTTGACATCGATACCTAAAACCAAGAATGCAAGTTGCGCGTTGAGGCTAGAGCGAGCACTCGAGCTATATCTTAATGGTATGATCACCTATTGACACTTTCGTCTCACCCAGAAACTTCTCCGACGTGTTCATCCGTACCTGATCTACACAGTGCGCAACAAGTTGTCGGGAGCGAATGATGTTGTACGATCCAGGACGTTAGCTCGTTTACTCTCTTTCTTGAGCTCGGATGTATTGAGCGGAATAAAACGTTCAACCGAACACATCTCATCGAACACCTACCCGAATCGCCTTCAAAAAGAAACGAGCAACATTCCCATCTATTGCATTAAGAGGGAATCGAACCCCCGGCGGGTCGATACAACCGATAGACCTATTGAATGGCAACGACCCAGGTTACCACTACCTCATTAATGCATTAGTGTGAGCAGAATGCATGCGGTCCATGTGCCTCCTTGTACCCTCGAAGATTAGAGAAGGATCCTATTTAGAAGCATCGCGTGGTTGACAGGTGAGTCTAATGTGACCCAAAGAAGCTTGATGTACGTACGACAGAGAGTCATCAGGTCCGCAGCATGGCATTGGCTGACAGATTTTTCAACCCTTCTTCACGCCAAACTCCCATCGTAATAGGACGATATCCTCTATGCAACGGCGAATACCCAACCAGACGCCTGAGCCTGAACTAAAAAGAATGAAGATGGATAGCAATGAGTGAGCACTAAGAACTAATTTCATTAGGCCGAGCTGACCTTTGATCACCGTAACAGTGACATGACACCAGAACAATCGACAACTCCACCAACGACTCGGACGCACGGATTTCTTCTAAACACAGAACGCACGCCTCCACTACCATACATTCCACTACCTACGGTTGCAAGAGTCGATAAAATCTTTGAAAAAGTCGATGATCTCTCTGATGAGCTTTGGGAGATGGCAAAAGAGCTGGAGGACGCAAAACAACTTTTGGTATGCAAGGAGAAGGAGATCGAGAGCCTGCGAAGCGCGTTGAAGGCATCAAAGATCAGGGAGGAGGAGTTGATGGGGTCGAAGAAGAAGGAACAACGGGTGAAGCGAGAGAAGGTGACGAGGTTTGTTCATGGCTTGGATGGAGATTTGTGGGTGTTGGAGAAGATCCTGCGGATGGTTAAAGAGGCGGAGGAAGTGTAGGGATGGCGTTTGTGTATGGGTGAAGAAGTAGAACGTGATATATACTATTCACGCTTTGGTGGAAGTGACGTCGAGCAAAGATCCTGGATGGGCATTTTAATCGGACGTTGATCCTATTCGGAACCATCATGTGTAATAACCCGAAGAAGGAAATTGAGTCACCAGGTCCATGGCTGTCGACCTTCTTCGCGTCAAGTTTCTCAATGCTATAATCATTCATTGAGCCTTTGATCCAAACAGAATCCTCTCCAGGGCTCATCCGTTTCTGGTCTACGCAGAGCTAAACTCGAAGTTGTCAAAAACAAACGATGGAATACGGTCTAGGAGGTTAGCTCCTTTGTCCTGATCTCATTCATGAGCCTAGAGGCATTGAACAAAATGAAACGTTAAAACTAATCACATCACATCGAACATCTACCCGGATCGCCTGCAAAAAATGTATATTCTAATACAACGATTGCATTAAGAGGGAATCGAACCCCCGGCGGGTCGAATCCAATAGCCAAATACGGGTATGGCAACGACCCAGGTTACCACTACCCCATTAATGCGGTAGTGTTTTTTCAGAATGCGTAGCGTGGATATACCACGTTTGGATGTACCCAAAGGCTGGATGTGGATCCTATTTAGAAGCATTGCGTGGTTGACAGGTCAGTCTAAGGAGCTCGATGTACGTACAAAAGAACGTCAGCAGGTCCGCGGCGCTTGCATTATTTTTCAACCCTTCTTCGCGTCAAACTCCCATCTCCCCTATGCGACGAAAATCAAGGATGACGATCGACCTGACACCAGAGGCTGAGCCTGAACCAAAGAGAATGAAGATGGATAGTGACGAGTGAGTATCAACAATACTATCTTTGGTTCTTTGTGAGACGAGCTGAGATTTGACCGCAGTGACATGGAATCAGAACGCTCGACAACTCCTCTATTTCTCCTCAACACAGAACGTACACCACCGCTTCGATACATGCCCCCAAGCACACCGCCACTACCATATATTCCAGAACAATCAACAACTCCGCCACCGACTCGGACACACAGATTTCTCTTAAACACAGAACGCACACCACCACTACCATACATTCCATCGCCTACGGTCGCGAGAGTCGATAAAATCTTTGAAAAAGTCGACGATCTCTTCGATGAGCTCAGGGAGATGGCGCAAGAGCTGGAAGACGCGAAAGAGCTGTTGGTGTACAAGGAAACGGAGATTGAGAGCCTGAAAAACGCATTGAAGGAAGCGAAGATCAAGGAGGAGGTGTTGATGTATGATATCAACGAATTGGAGAGGAAGGAACAACTGGTGAAGGCGTTTGAGAAGCGAGAGGAGGTAACGAGGTTTGTTCATGGCTTGAATGGTGATTCGTGGGTGTTGGATAAGATTATGAGGGTGATTGAGGAGGCAAAGGAAGTGTAGGGATGGTGTTTTGTGTATGGGTGAAGATGTAGAGTGTGTTAGCGCAATCGACGTCGAGCAAAGATGCTGGATGAGCCGTCTAATTTGACGTTAATCCTGTTTGGAACCATCATGCAATTTAGTAACCCAAAGGACATTGTACGTAAAAAAGAAGGTCACCAGGTCTCGGGCTGACGGATTCTTCAACTCTTCTTCGCATCGAACTCTCATCTCACTTTCCCTCATATCGAGATGCGAAGTACACCAACCGTCAAACGCTCATTGGATCCTGAAGGGCATGGTACACCAGAGCCAGAGACAGGCGAAGAGAGCGAAGCTGTCCAGTGACGAGTACGGAGATACAAAACTTTCAAGAGAGAAAGCTAACCTCTATCCTAAGTGGCACCGAACAACAACTAGCAATGCGTCTTCCACCGATTGCAAATATCAAGCCAAAGCCAAAGCCTCTCCGGCAAAGAATCGTACCACCACCTACAGTTGCCACTTCTAAACTGGCTAAAATCCGAGACAACGTCAACAACTTTTTCGATGAGCTCGGGGACATTGCGCGGGAGTTGAAAGATGTACAAGAGGAGTTGGTACGAAAGGACAAGAAGATTGAGAAGTTGGAGGTAGAGAACGATGGGTTGGAGCAAAGGGTGATTTTGTTTGAGAAACGAGAGCAAGTGATAAGGTTCCTTCAGAGCTCGGAATGTGATTTACGAGTGTTGGAAAGGTTTCTTGAGGTGATCAAGGAGATACAGGAGGTGTAGATGGCGTTTGTGTATGGATACGTGTTATGTATTGCTTCTGACATGACTCCGTCGAGCAAAGACCATCGATACAAAGAACGACCTGCCGCACAGGAGTTGGTATCGAAATGGGATAGTGTCATCCGAATCAAAAGGCGAGGGAATTCCTCAGTTAGACCGTTGTAGATCATTCAATCACGGCTGACATACGATGTTGTGGTTACCTTGGCGCTAAAAAATCCTAGAAATTTGGACATGCATTAAGGGGATATCGAACCCCCGGCGGGTCGAGAACTGGTTAAATTCCGGTATTATGACGGCCCAGGTTACAACTACCCCAATAATGCCATTGAGTTCTTTGATGAGCTCGGGGATATTGGCCAGGGACTCAAAGATGCAAGAGAGGCGTTGGTGCGTAAGGAAAAAGAGATCAAGTACTTGGACATCTTTGTTGGGAGAGAAAGCGAAGGTGTCGGGGTTGGAAGTGAAGAACGATGGGTTTCATCAACAGGTGATTTTGTTTGAGAAACGAGAGCAAGTGATGGGGTTCCTTCAGTGCTCGGAATGTGATTTACAGGTATTGGAGAGGTTTCTTGATATGATAAACGAGGTACGGCAGGTGTAGGTGTAGATGGCTTTTGTGTATGGACGAATACGTGTACTGTAATGGGTCTATTCTTTTATGATATCTTGTCGATACGGTACTATATACCTCTGTCTACTCGTACGATCTGATTGAGAGTCAGAACGGCGCGTTACATGTACATAATCAACTTGAAGTGCCGTGGAGCGAATATCCAGAACGCGAATAGGTATGGGCACCGTGGTAGTGACGGTACCGGTCGTACCTGTGTAAGGCAAGGGAATTCATCGACTAGCCCGTTGTAGATCATTCAATCATGGCTGACATACGAGATTAGGACAAGCCTGAGTTTCGTGGTTACCTTTGATGCATAAGAAACAATTTGGTCACAGTACGCCAAAAACATCCAAGCATCTACATGCATTAAGGGGGAATCGAACCCCCGGCGGGTCGAGTCTCATCAAAGTACAGATATGGCAACGACCCAGGTTACCACTACCCCATTAATGCCTTGCTTCCTACCAACATGAAGGTTATCTCGTCAAACTGGAACCAGGAGAAGGAAGACGAAAAACCTGAGGACGAGGAAATGATAAGTCATATCATGGATATCCAACCCAACAAAAAATCAACAAATACCCTGCATTGCATTAAGAGGGAATTGAACCCCCGGCGGGTCAGTAGTTCCTCCTAGGTTACCACTATCCCATTGATGCGCTAGTGCCGGAAGAAGAGAAGCCTGAGGTGAGGAAATAATCTGTCCCCCAAAAAAATTGCATAGAGTCTCGTCTAGAATTGCATTAGGAGTGAATCGAACCCCCGGGTCCAGGCGTGTTATGGACTGTGGCCACAAACCATGTTTCCACTACACCATTAATGCATTGGTTAGCGTGGGCTATACGAGTGGATACGAGCCGACTTAGGTTCACCCTCTTTTGAATTGCTCGGTTGTTGATATTCGTTTTCCTGTTCGCGTGTGACAGCTTTGAGAGTGTACATTCGGTTTTGTTGTGAAAGTGGGAAATACCAGCGCATTATTATGGAGTTCAAGATCCAGACCTACATCTTTTTCATTTCATCACTGTTACCGCATTAATGGGGTAGTGGTAACCTGGGTCGTTGCCATTGGGTGATGGATCTTCATGTCTCTCGACCCGCCGGGGGTTCGATTCCCTCTTAATGCAATCAGAGCCCCGTGGTGTAATTTTTTCTAAAAAGGCAAGCGGTCACAAGGTGGCTTGCATTTTTTTGATGATGGTCGCCGCATTGGAAGATAAGACAGGGTAATATAGCCGAGGTGGGTGGCGTGGAACACATAAAACTTGAGAATACAGTCAAAGAGCCGGATGTGGTTGTTTGGATAGGACGGTGGAGGGGTAATGGGTGACCTTGACACCAAAAAAAACCATGGATTACTTCGATAAACGACGCCAGCAGGATTCGAACCTGCGCCCTCAAAGAGGAACAGATAGATGGACTTCATGCACATTCTAATCTGTCGCCGTAACCACTTGGCTATAGCGCCGATAACTTCGAGGCTATCAATTGTGTACATGGAGCGGTGAAGTGGGCCAGCGGGTTGGAAAGAAGCGAACACGAAGAAGAGAAGTAACGGAAAACGTGTAGAAGACGGTCCGGGGGGAAGGCAGGCACTCAGGAACAGTGACGTCAGAGTTTTACACGTGGAAGAGTACGCGTAATCGTCGTTTCTTTTTCGTTGACTACCACCTTCGTCGTTGTCCCGCATCTGTCCCCCAAGCCGACACTGTATGTTTCCGAGTTGATTCCATTACTCGTCAGCTCATTCTACGATCCAACATTCCTTCGCTGGCCAATTTGACGATGCCCAGTTTGATGTTACAGGAGAGAAAAACGTAGAATGACCAGGTACGCTTGCGAGTTCTTACTTCTCCGTGTTCGTTTGCCTGATCAACTTCTTTCAGATACCTTTGCTGACCCAAACTTTTCCGACGTCGGACACGCTGACCACTATCGGACTGATCAGCGACCCCCACCTTTGGCATGAACCTATGACTCGTCCTGCCCAGGTACTTTTGCTCTTTGGTGCTCACTGCTATTATTCTTGTAGCCATTGGTCCGTCTCCGTTGGATCTGGTGTTGGTTAGGTTGAGCTGGATGTTGTTTGGATCAAGATCGACCAAGGTATGCATGCAATCTCTATCCAACGCTCATTCGCTCAGCTTATCATCCAGACCTCCTCAAGCCTTCCATCAATTCCCTTTTCTGCTCGCTCGTTCCCACCGACATCCACAGCCGCTGTCCTACTCGTTACTCGCACCCTGCTTAACAAGGAGCACAGTTAGGCGTGAAATTCCCTTCCTCCCCAATGATGGTTTCCTCGATCGTCATAGCGCCTAAGTCAAACCCTGCGTCCAAAGTTCAATCCAACTAGGAAATATTCCTCACAACATGTTGTTTTCCTTGCCCAATTACTCCCCTCTATCCGTTTCGCGCATCGAGATGGCTAGGACACCGACACCGGCTGTTCTACTAGCTGTTCGGACCGCTGCTTCGAATCTCAGCCGGAAAAGAAGGCCCTATTTCCTCACCACAACATCGTCTTACATATTCACTGCCTTCCTATCCAACCACTGCCTTCGATGCGTCTGGAGAGGTTGTTCGAACGGTTGAGACCGTAGGCTCTCAGGTATGCTTGTCATCCGTTTCACTCAACCTCTTCGTCTTACCCTGTCGTTTACCCTCGTATAATACTCATACCACATCTAGATACCCGCCCTGCCGTGGCCGTTTTTCATTATCCTGCATAGGGTGCACGTTAGAGCAGTGGTGGGATGGGAAGGAAGAACGGTTCGTCATGCTGTAACTCCTCCCTACGCTTACGTCTCACCTCGAAAACCCAGCTCTCGACTATCAACTTCATATACCTGTGGTATCGATCCCTTTCTACACCTGTCCCCCGCCAATCTTCAATGTAACATGCGGATGGCGTACACCCCAGTCATCCACGGTACACCCTCCGCTCCTACTCTCCTTCGTTCTCGTTATTTATTGTACACCAGAGAATTCACCACTACGCGAAGAAGGGGAGAATACGCAACCCTCGACTACTCCAAGCCCTCATTCCCTACCGTCATCAAGCTATGTATCACCGTTTGAGGTATGCCCCCTTCCAATATCCCCGCATTCGGTCACAGGGACTACCCATCACATCGCGAAGAAGAGGATACACCACCTCGTCGCTCACATCAACCTTGCGAGATGGGATCGGAGTGTCGCGCTAGTCTACATAGTCACGTCCTTATCACAACAGTGTTATTATCTGCGTTCTATAAATAATATATCTCAGTAACGTGTGATAGAAGAAAAACGAAAAGCTATATTCAATCACTTTTTAATGCATTAAGAGGGAATCGAACCCCCGGCGGGTCGAAATGACTCAATGAAATCACTAATGGCAACGATCCAGGTTACCACTACCCCATTAATGCGATGTGGGTAGCTGGTGGTTTTGATTATTAGACACGTCGATCTTTGTGAACCATGATACAAAAGAGTGAGGAGAATGAGTATATAGGTGTTACTGTGGGAATGAAAACAAGATAAATGAGATTGCTAAGGTTCATTCGTTGCGTTACTGGGGAGCTGAAACCCCTGCAGCGAATCGAAATCGAGTGGCAATGGGTCGGGTGACAGGGCTTTGAAAAGTAGTCTACACTTCCAGCTCGTTGTTCTTTACCTCGCATTCAGATCCATCTACATACATAGGCAAGTAACGTAGCGAGATAAGATGTTGCTTTCGTTGATTACCAGTCTATCGATGTCTGTGCGTGATAGTTAACAAGAAACAAATGTGGTAAAACACGTCGAATCGGTATGCGTTAAGGGGGAATCGAACCCCCCGCGGGTCGAAGAAATACACGATCGACCCGGGTAACCACTACCCCGTTAACGCGATAATACTTCTTCATTTTCGAGGAATAAGGTCGGGCTGCGAGCGTAAACTACATGATCCATTTTAACAGCGTGAAAGAGAGCTCATTGCCTAGGTACCATCGATGCAGACCTTTGGATGGGAATCAGGTACGTCCTTTTTCTCTCCCTTCGCACCCATGTATCGAAGAAGAGGTGACTTACGAGAAGATCCACCGTTCGGCTTCGTTCCGTTTCATCCAATAGCTATTGAGTACGTCCTCCTCAGGCACCTCACATTTATTACTCATCGAAGTGTACAGGAACTGCACTCATCGAATTCACAAAGAACAGACCCCAGAGATGACGAGTAATCGTGTAGGTATTCACACTTCTTGACCAAAAAAATGTGTTTGTAAAGCTGGACATGCATCAAGAGGGAGTCGAATTCCCGGCGAGTCGATTCCAGTGATGGCAACGACTCAGGGTACTACTAAACCATTGATGCAGTGGTCGTGTTCGCCCGACGTCCGCTTGTGTGATACTGGAGCTGCGGATTGACAGTTGGGATTCATGACAGCACGACAAAGAGAGACTACATCCATTGTTGCCTGAGTACGATAAATCAACCTTTCGAATGGGAATCAATGAATCAGGCATATGTAGAGGTGTTACACATCGTCAGCGATGGTGTCGCATTGGCAAAAATAGCTGTTGTTACTGGCAATGGCACTACGGGGAACCGAACCCCCGCGATGCGGCGAGTGCAGGAGGTGTTTTCCCCTGTACTATGAATGCTATGCTCCAGACTCACTTTTACATTCAAAGGATGCCACATAGAGTTGCAGAAGTTGTTGGAAGCCTCGAGGGGTTAGTGCATGCAGAAGATCGAACCACAAGTGGAATAGTCAAGTGCTGGTGGTAGGACTACTATCCCATAAACGCTACAGGCGATATCTATTTCTTGCATCTACCACAGGAGCATCGATGTCGAGCCGGGTCCGAATCGATAACGCAATTCTGGACGTTTTGGGTTGGTGACATGCTCAAATTCTACTGAAAATTGGTAAGGGAGTAAGTATCATGACGAATTTATCACAAGGAATTGGTTAGATGATAGGGCAGAGAGAAATTATACATAGCAAGCATGATAGCGCTAAATATCGACAGAACTAGATCAAAGAGAAGTCTACGAACGGATATATGTACAAGGTAACAATCGGAATAGATAGGTCGAGCTTTGAAAAGAGTACATAGTTGAAACGAAGCCAAGGAGGAACAAAATCGTAACGGAGCTAGTAAAGAAGCTAATCCTTCCAAGATCCAGGCATGTTCAGCGTATCATCGATGACCTCCTCGAATCGATCCCGTCTCTTTGTGCCAATGACTTCCAACTCCGGGTACCCCATGCTCCGTGCCCAATCTGAGGTTTTAGGGTCGAATCCACGTGCGACTTGCCATTCTTCGAGGGCTGCATAGCTGTCTTTTCTCCATGTTTGGAATTCAGGGCAGTAGGTTGCCCAGACCTTTGGAAGATCCCACCGATAACACTCGTCTTCCGAGACTTTGGACTCTCCAATTTCGTCAAAAGACCAGAAATATAGATTTCCCATCCATGTCCGGGCTTCCATGACTGATAAGGGTGGCGGTTCAATGAACAGGTATACGTGCGGTGGTTCGTGACGAGCCTCCTCGAGTGCCTGATCATCCTGAATGGGTATCCTACGGTCCCTATATCCGATTTCGGACCGGGAATAGATTGAAATGGAACCATGCGCAAAAAACGTAACTGCTCTTACCGTATGAGCCTACAACAGAAATAGAATAAGAGGAATACGTACAGTATCTCTCTGTCTCTATATCTGTAACATTGAGTTCGTTGAAGATTTTAGAGGACTGTGACAACCATGTGTCCTGGAGGGATGCTGCGAACGAGTAATGGAGATCATTCCAGTCAGGTTCCATTCTGTTATTGCGGAGATCAAACTTGAAGCTGCAAACGGATGAGCCGGGTCAGGAAACCCCACTGGCAACGTACCGAAGACGTCCGTCATCAGTTTTGACCACTGTGCGCTCTGGTTTGGATTTCCCTATGTGCATCATATCGAAGAAAGGAAGTGGTAATTGTGACAATCTAGCGACCGCCTCCATTGTTAAACTGGAGTAAACAGTGCCGACCTGAATATGCGACCAGTCGTGAACAAGGTTTGGCAATCGGATGCCTTGACGCCGTTGATTCGCCATTGTTAGCAATTGAGAATCTACCCTTGATCCGATTTTGCGGAGAGATTCAATAATAATGTCGGGTTCCAGCATCTGTACATGTGTTATCCTCTCTGGAACACGCCATACGTTGTAACAGGCGGATATAAATTGATCCACGACAATCGAGCCCTGAGTTAGCTTCCCTTGCATATCAACCCATATCTCCCGACCAGCCCACCCTTTTTGGCGCTGAGGCAGCCAGGCTTTGGTCAATATACTGCAGCTCTAAATCCAGACATTTACTTACCGTGAGCTTCCCAAAGGAGACTACTTTCCAGAATGGGTCTGTGTGATCACACTCCCAAGGCACCAATTCTGGGCAAACTAGTCAGCATAGACCAACAAAAGAGAAAAAGAACCTTACCACCGTGGTATATCAACATCGGGACCTGCGATCGATTAATCGCAAAAAGCTGCAACGTGTTCGGCGATCTAAGAAGCTGATCAGCCCCCCACTATATCCTTTACGAACACTTACTGCATACCTTGATAGGCAAAATTCGCGAAAATCCTTCTCCCAGAAAAGATGTGCATCTTCGCCTTTGTATGAGATTGCAGTGAACCTGACTTCGCTGCCCACAAACTGCACGGTGTATACAGTTCGTCGAGCTTTATGCCGAGCGATAATCCTCTCACTCGTACAGTCCCAGTCATATTTGCCAAGGTCTTCGGACTGTATCTCTTTTATCATGATGACATCGCCAAGAATCACTTCACGAAACTGTATATACATGTATTCAGCCTCCAGCCTCGAGTGAGTTAATATTCCGCATCACTCACCTGATTGTACATAGTACGTCTCGCCACCGTGCCCTCGGTACTATGTCCAATGATAACATTGCCATGGATCGTTCCGTGGTTGTTGATCTGATGCCCACCGACGTTATTGCTAATTGTACCAGCGACGAAATTTTGGCACTCCTGGAGCATGTCTCGGTATAAGTTGAGTTTGCACGTAGGGGAAGTAGTGATGGGGGTAACAGTGAACAGAAGCGGAATAGAGTTAACAGGCATGGAGTAAAATATATCCTGTGAAACCCGCAGCACCTAACAACAATCAACACCAGATTGGGGCAACTTGATTCAACAATCACTCTGGTTGTACAGGAATGCTGTCGGTGTTGATTGCATGCAATATATACTAGTTCAGCGTGATACCTCAAAGAAGCATGCGAGGAATGTGAGATTCGGGGTTAAAGCGGTACATGAAGGCAATGAGGGGCTAAATAGCACATAGTTAAACGCATGCTCTTTGATCCTCTGGTCAGTCATCAGGAGAGAGAGGAAAGTTATCCTATTAGGCCCAAAGCAGTTCAATCGCCGTAATTGGATCAATTGAGTGAGAGTGAATAGGGTTGATTCTAATGCCATATGCCAACTGTTATCTACTTTGGTATCTCGGTGAGCCGCAAGCGTTTAAAGTGCACCGGAAAGATGTAGGTACTAAACGGTAGTAGGGAATTGAATTCGTTACGATGCTCTAGATAACCGTTGGAAGTTCCTGTTCCGGAGTGAGAATCACCTCTTCGCTTTCAGATAACGTTGCTATAAGCTTTAGCTGACCATTGTGTACAGGATTGATCGCGTCCACAAATCCACAATGCCATTTTGATCCGTTGATTCCCCCGACACTTCTCGGCACAAGTTCTTACTGATCAGTAAGGTGTATATCGTGCTTATCAACGCTCCGGCAAAGGTGTACATTTATGCGTACTAAGCCGAGAAAAGGGAGTGTTTGGAGCTGGGTTTGAGTGGTACATTAAGATGGTACTATGGCGGCGATCAAACGGCATGACCTGTATTGAATAGGAGTTCCATGAAGGGAACAAGAATGGAAAACGACGTTCCCACATATGCTCGAAAGCCCAGACTTTGCTGCAGAGTTCATTCGAGACGCATGAAGCCAGTAATCACGCGTTTCGGGGGCCATGAAAGAAAAATAGCATGGCCTTTTGAAGTTGACTCAATTGAGAGTCGATATCTCTGATCGCGCTGACATTGACTCAGTATCATTAGAAAGCATCTGAAATGAACTTCCCTCAGCCGACCCTGCTGTAAGTGCAGGATCGAGTGCCACTGAACATGTGTTTGTCACACGCCAGCATCGAGGCGGCTTCCCAGCGCCTACTTTATGATGTAGACAAGAATAGAATCGGGCTCGGAGACCATCTTGATGTAGCGTTTGGATACCTTCGGTGCAGAGATTGTCGATGTGTATTGCAGAATCCTGACGTGTATTTGATATGTTGTTGATAAATGGTAGATGTGTGTGCGATCGAAGGTAAGATAGCCTTTTAACATTGTTTTCGTGGTATTTTGATCTAATGGACTAAGAGAAGCAAGAAGAAGGGAAGGCGTGGAACCAAGTTAAGCCAAGTGGAAGGAAGGCGGTGCGGTTGCCATTCGAGAACAATGACGGGTGATATATAGATACAACGCGTGCAGCTCATTGGCTGGGATCGAGTTCAGAGTGTTCCGCGGTATTTGAGCGATAGGAATAAGGAGGAATCGGGGTCAAGTGGTTGTAGTGTTTATAAGCGCTAATGTGCAATTGTTATCCATGAACGAAAAGAAAGAGATGTAACGCAGAATTTCAGCTACATACCGATTCTCGGGGAAGTTGCGGATAAAAGTCTAAGAGTGATAGAAGAATCCAGAAGGCACGGAGGTAGAGCTTGACTGTTCGAGTTTTTACGCTTCGCGCCTAACAATTCGAAAGATGACTATTCGTTTTTCTGTTCGCATGTAACAGCTGCAGGAGTATCCATTCAGTTTTTACGCAGTATTATGAAGCATAAAATCTATTGAGAGCGACCTTGTATTCCGTTCCCGCTACGGGGTAGCGGTAACCTGGGTCGTTGCCATAAAGTAAGCATACATGGCTTATCTCGACCCGCCGGGGGTTCAATTTTCTCTTAATGCAATAGAGTGACCAAGTGGTGTGGCTTTTTGACCAGCCACTCAAAAGGCAAGGGATCACCAGGTGGCTCAAATTTGTCATTTTTTTGATGATGGTCTTTGCTAACCGTCGCCTCATCCAAGGATAAGAGTTGGATGCTGCTCATGAGTCACGGAACACGTTCACATAGCCGGGTAGAGTGGCTTGGGTAGGACGGTAGCGGGTAACGGGGGACCTTGAACCTTAAAGCTTAAAAACACACATCGAAAACACACACGGCACCAGCAGGATTCAAACCTGCGCCCTCAAAGAGGAACAGATAACAGCCTCAAAGTTCGTTGAACTAACCACTTGGCTGTAGCGCCTATGCCACGAGATGTTTCCGTTATGGTCATCATGGGGTTCATTGGGCCAGCGTGTTGGAAAGAAGCGAACACGAAGAAGAGAAGTAGCGGAGAACGTGTTGAAGACTGTCCAGAGGGACGGCAGGCACTCAGAAACAGTGACGTCAGTGGTTTACACGTGGAAGAGTACGCGTAAGCGTTGTCGTTTCTTTTTCGCCGACCACCATCTTCGTCGTTGACCAGCACATGTTCCCTAAGCCGACATTGTACGTTTCAGAGCTAACTCGATCTCTGGTCGACTGACAGATTTCCTAGAGGCGTTTCTACTGACGAACATTCCTTCGTTGGCCATTTTGATGATGTTGAGAGTGTGTTAGAGGGGAGAAGAAGGTCGAATGACAAAGTACGCCTGCGAGTTCTTGCTTCTCGGCGTTCGTTCAACCAATCAACTTGTCTCTCAGATTCCTATCGTAGACTCAAACGTTTCTGACATCGACACACTACCCACTATCATACAAATCAGCGACCTCCACCTGTGACATGAATACGGCTCATCCTGCGCAGGTACCCTGGCTCTTTGATGCTGTACGCATGTATTCTTTATCTGCGTCCTCATCGTATAATCCAGACCCCTAAAGCCCCCTTCTCATATCAAAATAGCTCGTTCCTTCCCAAAGACACCAACCGTTACTGTTTTGCTCAGTACTCGCACCCTGCCTCACGAGGTGCACAGCTACGCATGGAATTCCCTTTCCTCCCTACGCAGATGACGGTTCCTTCGACCCAAAAATCACCAATCATCGTCTACCGCCCTACTCGCTACTCAAACCCTGCGTCTAAGGTTCAACCCAACTAGGACGTCGTTTTCCTCTGCCAATTACACCCCTCTATCCGTTTCGCGCATCGAGATGGCTAGCTCCTTTCTCTCGACACCAACAGCCGCTGTTATACTCATACTCGTTCTGCTGCATCAAATGTCAGCCGGACAAGAGGGCTCTATTTCCTCAACGCAACGCGTGTCTTCACTGTCCTATACGATGGCTGCCTTCGATACGTCCGCCGACGCTTTCTGGATAGTCTGTTTGAACGGTTGCAAACCGTTAGGCTCTCAGGTACGCTTGCTGTCTTTTCTTCTCACCCTTCCCTGTCTTACCCTCACCATAATATTCAGTTCCTCCGAGTTTGAAGGCAGGGTATGTTATCGTTCGCATTGGAGCAGGATAGGAAGATCGAACGGTAAGTCATGCGACCACTCCTCTTTACGCTTCATCTCACCTCTCCCCAGCTGTCGATTCTGAACCTACATATCCTCTTGCATCGATCCCTTCTACATACTACAGAGTCCACCGTTACGCCAACTTGAAGAAGGGGAGGATACACACACCCTCGGTTACCCCAAGCCCTGTTTCCCTGCCACAGAACAGCCGTATTCGCCCAACCTAAGGAATCTACCACTCGTCGAGGGTACACCTTCCTTGGTTCTATCTCATCTTAGGTTACAGAAGCTACCCATTAAGAGACTAGACCTACATCGTACCGCTTGTGAAAGCTTTGAGCTGCTTGATTCATTTGTATGGCGTGAAAGAGACAGAGCTATCATATCCCTCATTGCCTGGGTATGATCGATGTAGACGTTTGAAAGGGAATCAGGTAGGTTCTCCTGACCTCTCCTTTTCATTGTTGCCCATCATATCGCAAATAAGAGGAGATTTACGAGAAGATACTTTCATCCAGTAGCTATTGAGTGCCGTATTCGGTACGTCCTCCTCTCAGTCAAATCACATTCATTACTCATCGTGGGCTACAGGAGCTGCACTCATCAAATTCACAAAGAAGAGACCCCAGAGGTGACGAGTATTCGTGTAGGTATTCACACTTTTTGACCAAAAAAAGCATTTCGGAAAGTTGGATGCATCAAGAGGGAGTCGAACCCCCAGCGAGTCGATTCCAGTGTATGGTAATAACTCAGGTTACTACTAAACCATTGATGCAGTGACCGTGTTTGCCCGACGTCCGCTTGCGTGATATTGGAGCTATGGGTTGACAGTTGGACTCAGAGCGTGAACCGCTTGATTCATGACAGCACGACAAAGAGAAACTACATTCTTTATTGCCTGAGTACGATGAATGAACCCTTTGAGTGGAAATTGATGAATATCGGGCATATGTAGGGGCGTTAAATATCGTCAACGATGGCGTCGCATTGGAAAAAATAGGTGAACCGAACCCCGCGGTACGGCGAGTGCAGGTGTTTTCCACTGCACCACTGATGAATGCTATGCTCTGAACCCAGTTTCACGTTAAAATGATGTCACATAGAGTTGAAGAGGTTGTTGGAAGTTTCGAGTGTTCAGAGCGAGGTTTCGATATTCATGAAAAGATTCATGGCCTAAGGTTTGCTTGATTGAGTCCAAGTATTTTTCAGTGTACACGAACTCGGAGGCGTTACGGTTAATAAGGTCAAATAGGGTAGTTAAACAACGATGGTAAGCCAATTACTATCACATATGTAAATCAGTAACAAAAGTGTAGATGTTTCGTGGCGCTGAGATGCTCAAATTCTACTCGAAATCAGTAGGAGGTAGTATACTGGCGGATATATCGTAAGGAAATGGTTAAGACAATAGGGCGGGAAGAAATTATACATAGCAAACATGACAGCACTAAATATCGGGAGAACTGGATGAAAGGAAAGTCTATGAGACACATATATGTATGTACAAGGTAACAACCGGAATAGTTCGAGCTTTGCTAAGAGTACCTAGGAACAAAATCGTAACGGGGCTAGTAACAAAGCTAATCCTTCCAAGATCCAGGCATGTTCGGCGTATTATCGGCGACCTCTTCGAAACAATCCGGTCTCCTTGCGCCAATGACTTCCATCGCGGGGTATCCCATGCTCCGTGCCCAGTCTGAGGTTGTAGGGTCAAATCCACGTGTGACTTGCCATTCTTCGAGAGCTGCGTAGTTGTCCTTGCTCCATGTTTGGAATTCAGGGCAGTAGGTTGCCCAGACCTTTGGAAGATCCCACCGATAACAATCGTCTTCCGAGACTTTGGACTCTCCAATTTCATCAAAAGACCAGAAATATGGATTTACCATCCATGTCCGGGCTTCCATGACTGATAAGGGTGGCGGTTCAATGAACAGGTATACGTGCGGTGGTTTACAAGCCTCCTCGGGTGCCTGATCATCCTGAATGGGTATGCTACGGTTCCTATATCCGATTTCGGATCGGGAATAGATCGAAATGGAACCATGCGCAAAAAACGTGACTGCTCTTACTCTATGAGCCTGTCACCAACAGACATAGAATAAGAGGAATACGTACAGTATCTCTCTGTCTCTATATCTGTAACATTGAGTTCGTTGAAGATTTTAGGGGATTGTGACAACCATGTGTCTTGGAGAGATGCTCCGAACGAGTAACGGAGAACATTCCAGTCAGGTTCCATTCTGTTATTGCGGAGATCAAACTTGAAGCTGCAAACGGATGAGCCAGGTCAGGAAACCCCACTGACAACGTACCGAAGATGTCCGCCATCAGTTTTGACCACTGTGCGCTCTGGTTTGGATTTCTCTATGTCCATCAAATCAAAGAAAGGAAGTGGTAATTGCGACAATCTAGCGACTGCCTCCATTGTTAAACTAGAGTAAACAGTGCCGACCTGAATATGCTCCCAGTCGTGAACAAGGTTTGGCAATCGGATGCCTTGACGCCGTTGATTCGCCATTGTTAGCAATTGAGAATCTACCCTTGACCCGAGTTTGCGGAGAGATTCAATAATAATGTCGGGTTCCAGCATCTGTACATGTGTTATCCTCTCCGGAATACGCCATAAATTATAGAAGGGGGATGATGATCGGTCCAAGGCAATCGAACCATGAGTTAGCTTCCCTTGCATATCAACCCATATCTCCCGACCAGCCCACCCTTTTTGGCGCTGAGGCAGCCAGGCTTTGGTCAGTATACTGCAGCTCTAAATCCAAACATTTATCTACCATGAGTGTCCGAAAGGAGGCTACTTTCCAGAATGGGTCTTTGTGAAAATCACACTCCCAAGGCACCAATTCTGGGCAAGCCAGTCAGCATCTATCACCAAAAGACGCAAAGCGGCATACCACCATGTACTATCAGCATTGGGACCTCCGATCGATTGATTCCAAATAGCTGGAACGTGTCTGGCGATCTAATATCTAATATCAGACCTCCAGTATATCCTGGACAAATCACGACTGTACATACCTGTCATGTGAAAATTCCCGAAAATCCTTCTCCCAGAAATGATGTGCGCCTTCCCCTTTGTATGACATTGCAGTGAACTTGACTTTGCTACCCACAAGCTGCACAGTGTATACAGTTCGTCGAGCTTTATGCCGAGCGATAATCCCCTCACTCGTACAGTCCCAGTCATATTTGCCAAGGTCTTCGGACTGTATCTCCTTTATCATAATGACATCGCCGAGAATCACTTCACGAAACTTTATACACATGTATTCAGCCTCGAGTGAGTCATTATTCTGCATCACTCACCTGATCGTACATAGTGCGTCTCGCGACAGTGCCCTCGGTACTATGTCCAATGATAACATTGCCATGGATTGTTCCGTGGTTGTTGATCTGATGTCCGCCAACGTTATTGCTAATCGTACCAGCGACGAAATTTTGGCAGTCTTGAAGCATATCTTGAATTTTTGGGTCACGCCTCGGGGGAGTAGTGGTGGGGTAACAATAAATCAAAGTGGAATGGAGGAACAGGAATGGAATGAAATATATCCCATAAAACCCGCAGTACCCAACAACAATCAAGTCGAGAACAAGGCAGATCCTTTGGGCAATCAATCGAGGTGTATCGGGATAGTGATACAAGCTCCGTGTGATATGTACGATTGGTGGTCCCTCGGAGGGGCATGCGGCGATCGTGAGATGAGCGAAGCCACAACACGTTACAATCCAAGCAAAATATTTGAATGCATGCTCTAAGATCTCTGCAGGATTGTATATTTTGGTAATTCTCATG